ACAGGTCCCCCCAACCACGACTGGTTAATTTTTTGTAATTTTTTTTTTTTTTAGTAGAGAAGCGGTTTCACCGTGTTAGCCAGCATGGTCTCGATCTCCGGACCTTGTGATCCACCCGCCTCGGCCTCCCAAAGTGCTGGGATTGCAGGCGTGAGCCACAGCGCCCGGCCGGCTATTCTCTTTTTTTAAAGTGAAATCCTGTCATTTGCGGCAACAGGAATGGAACTGAAGGCCATTATGTGAAGTGACATAAGCCAGGCACAGAAGGACAAGTATTGCATGTTATCACTCATATGTGGGAGCTAAAAAGTGGATCTTGTGGAGGTAGAGTAGAATGAGAGATACCAGAGATGAGAAGGGTATATGTGGTGGGGAAATGACGAGAGTTGGTCAACGGGTAAAAACATACAGCTAGACAGAAGTTCTCATGTTCCACAGCACAGTGAGGCGGCAATAGTTAACAACTGATTGTATATTTCAAAATAACTAATATTTGAAATGTTGACAACACACAGAAAGGATACATACCGGAGGTGACGGATACTCTACATAAAGACTTGATCAGGCCGGGCGCGGTGGCTCAAGCCTGTAATCCCAGCACTTTGGGAGGCCGAGACGGGCGGATCACGAGGTCAGGAGATCGAGACTCATCCTGGCGAACACGGTGAAACAACTAGCCGGGCGCGGTGGCGGGCGCCTGTAGTCCCAGCTACTCGGGAGGCTGAGGCAGGAGAATGGCGTGAACCCGGGAGGCGGAGCTTGCAGTGAGCTGAGATCCGGCCACTGCACTCCAGCCTGGGCGGCAGAGCGAGACTCCGTCTCAAAAAAAAAAGACTTGATCATTACACTCCATGCACATAAGAGTATCACATGTACCTCATAAATACTGCAAACCGCATGTTTCAAAAGAGACACACATAGATACATTTCAACACTTGCAATAAGGACGGCTCCTTCCGCTGCAGTCTATTTTCATGAGGCCGATTCTCCAAACTCTTCACTTGACTTTTCCTCCTACCTGCGGCATTTTTTCAGGCTCCACAGTTCTTCTCAGATCTGAGTTTTTTTGAAATCCCCTCAAAACAAACATTTGCACAAAATCTGAAAAACCACAAAACCAAAGTATTTATGAACATCGTGGTCTCCAAGCAACTGTGAACGGAGGCGCAGCTTCGCAGTGAGCTGAGATCGGCCACTGCACCTCGCCGCCTGGGCCGACAAGAGCAGAGACCCGTCTCAAAAAAA